CCCTTTTGCCTTTCTGATGTCCACAGACAAAGTCCCAGGGACTGAAGTTTGACCAAATCTACCTCATACTTTTGAAAACCTGTATGTCAATACGGATGGCTATGTATTGCCATCCTAAGAACTCACTGACCACGGGAAGTACTGTACCTGAAAATAAGGCCATGACTTGTGCTTGCAATGAAATTCATGAATATATAAACAAGTGGATGAAGTCAGCCTGGACTTTTGAGAAAACAACTATTTGGATTGGTCTGGACAGGATAATGTACGTTCATACCTAATAGGTTTCTTTGCTTCTAGTCTCTAGTCAGATGGCCTGGAGAGGGACCTTGCCTCAAGTTTTGCTACTCAGGGTGGGATCTGTGGAGATTGGTGGCACCATTGGCTGGGAGACTGTTAGACGTGTTGGATCTCAGGGCCCTGCCCCTCACCTACAGGTTCAGAGCCTGCCTTTTAACTTGTTAAAAGGTGATATGGGCGCACCTGAGTCATAAGAAGCACTGTGAGCTTTTAACACAAATCTGACTGTGCCTTTCCCCAGCTATAAACACTTCAAAGGCTGCTATGGTCTTGGGATATAACCCGAGTGCTTGGCCTGACATTCAAGGCCTTCAACGACTCAACCTCCATCTGCCTGTCCAGCTGACATCCCAACCCTTGTCCCTCGTATCCCTACACCTAACCCTTTGTGGCATCCCAGCCCTGTCCTCTGAACCTTTGCTTATGAGGTTGACGATGCTGCCATGGCTATGGTTCCTGTCCATATCCAGACGGCCAACGTCAATAGTCAGCTTGACCTCCATCTCCACTACAAAGCCTGTTCCATGAAATCTGGACAAAAAGTAATCTCCACAGTGCCCCAATCTCCACAGAGCTGTGTCTAGACTCCCAAGGGAAATTTGTCCTTTCTTTGAAATTTTTTACCCTTGTTACTTATGTATAATTAGCTTATAAAAGTCACCTGAAGAATGAAATCTTAGCTGATAACTTTGCCAATGTTCTATAATGGGGAGTCAATAAATAGCTTATTAAATGCTTGGATCTATGGACATATATATGAATACATGAACAAATGAGTCTATTAGTACATATATGTAAATCCCATGCATCAAAAAATGAAAGCAATCCTTGAATTCGTTCTAGGCTATCCTCAGGTGGCTACCCTAAAAGTTCTTAAAAGGGCACTTCTGGGAAAAAAAAGATTTCTAACTCACACAAACAGCTACATCTGAGGTAGCTCAGGGAAGCAATAACATCAGTTTCATACCAACAAAAGAAAATTTTTATGGTAGTTGTAGAGGGGATATGGGAAACACTGAGTCAAAATGAGCCAGTTTCCAGCACAGGGCAAGAAGCTTTATTCAAAAGGAGTAAATTATGGTCCTTTCTGCAGTTAAATTTTTCACCAACGTGAGATGAATAAACTCCTTCTGGAAATTACTCTTATGAAATTACTTCTTCCAGGACACTTAATAGTATATTCTGGTGCCCCTGAAAAATTAATTAACCTTACCTGTAACAACCTAACCCCTAAACCATTTGCGGTGTTTTTACCGTGGGTCAGGTTAATCTTCTCTACCTTAATTTACATCTAAGTGAGGGTGGTCTAAATTACACTGGGGCCTTTTGGTCGCTGGTACTTTGCCTTGTGCCATTTCTTTAGATGACATTCTGCTCGTGTCCAAACACATGAATCTTTTTTAAAATGGCAAACCTTTGAGATTACCAGGGAGAACTCTGCAACCTTTTTTGTGGGGAGCGGGAGAGAGCAGCACTGCTGCTATCCTTAGAGGTCAAAACACAGCAGCAAGTGGGGGATGGGCAAGGCTGTAGTTCTATTGTTTGGCCCTATTGGGCATTTATTTTTTTCTGAGGAAGTCTGGATTTTCGGAGCCTGGGAAACATGAAGATACAGGGGCTGGATTCCATCTGGGATTAGATTGTGGGTCAACCGCAAGATTTACCAATCCTCTCCTCCCTTTGGTTATCCAAAAGATATCTAAAAAGTATACTCAAGTCATTATCAGGAGACAAAGACAAGTGGCTGAAAATGTCCAGACTGTTGATCTGCTATGGCCTCTGCTACTTGCTGGGGGAAAACTCTTCCTTTAACTCTGTGATTCTGGAATGTTAACTCTTGAGCCGCGAGAGTGTGTGTTCTCCTTTGGGAGCAGACACAGAGCACTGCCTTTCCCATAAAAGAAGGATTTTGAGCTCAGCATGGGAAAATATTATTAGAAGATAATAGTGATTATTCTGTGCTGTTTTACAAACAGAATTAGTATCATTAATATGTAATAATAACAAAACACATATCAATAATGATGAGGCAATCAGCCGATACAAACGCATTATGACACAAATAGTACAAAAAGCCGGAAATATTTGCTTGAAAAGATGAAGAAAAAGTAGCTTTTTGTAGAAAGACTGTTAGTCTCCTAAAAATGTGTCACCCTCCCACTTTGGCCCAAAGGGGACATTCGTCTTCTTTTGTTAACTGATCTCTGATGGGCTTTGTCCTCCCAAGTGTGAGCTTCTTTCAGTCGGAATTAATCAGAGACCCGCCGGTGATGAGACCATCCCAGCCGCTGCCAGCCGCTCCACAAATGCTTCCTTGTTCCCACCCGCACTGGCGAAGGATGGGGTTGGAACAATGAGAGCTAATGATGGAACTCTGGAAGCTATCATTTTGAATCAGGCCATTACTTATGCTACCCTCATGAAAATCAAGCCCAGCTTATGTTCCATTTTAGCTTAGGGGGCCCCAGGTCCACCCAGGGGCTAAATAAGCCCAGAGAAGACAGAGGGCTTCAGGTCTCCATGTCGACACTGGATGCTGGCACGGGATGACCAATGCATGTTCCAGACTGCTTGGGGGAGGGCACAGCATGTCACAGGCCCGGTTTGCAAAGAGCCCCATGCTGCTGGCTGGAAAGACCCAGCCTTGCCTTCTGGCCAGTGTGAAACCCACCTGAGTCAGGTGCTCTCTCTTAAGAATTCTCCCTGCATATGCATGGGGAGCCTGTCCGTGGAAATCCCAGACCTGTCCTATTCTTACCGTTCTATGTGCTAGTGTAAAGAACTGAAACAAATTTCAAAGCACAGCTGTACAGATGCACGAGCAAACCTTGCTGAGCCCACCTCAGATCCGCAGAACTGCTCGGTGGATCCCAAGACTCATGATAAATAACACATAGTAGTTGTTTCAGTTCTAAGTTTTGGGGTGGTTTGTTACACAATGGTAGCAACTGATTCAACTAGTTAGTACAGTCTGATACAAGCACAGTTGTTAGGTCAGATAATCCTCAGGTTAGAAAGATAGGGTAGCAGTGTTGTGCTTTTAAGTAGAAAACAGTGGGGAGCCATTAGAAATTTCTGCTTAGGGTACACACATGTTGGACAGCAGTGCTCCAGAAGCTTTATCCTACAGCAGCAAGGGGAAGATGGGAATGAAATAGGGGGAGTCTAGAAGACAGGGAAACTGGGACAGAAGCCATGCTGAGGAAGTAAAGAGGGCTGAACCAAAGCCAGAGGTGGTAGGATTGGAGGTGTGAGAATCTCTGAAGAAAGAGTGGCTACAGCCAAGATATGGATGGAGAAGGAAAGCTGACAGTGATCAAGGTTAAGTCCAGATGTAGCTGGGTAGCTGAGAGAGTGACCAAAAAGGGAGGAGGCATGTAGAGTTGGCGATGTCACACTTGAGAAGTCCACAGAATGTTTAGGTGGTAAAGTTTGCACTTTGGGAAGTCAGGGACTGTAGCTCTGCAGATGGTACCCAGTAGGGGGAAAATATTTCAAGAATATTTTCATAGAGGTGATGGTTGCAGGTGTGACTCAGAGCAAGAGAAGATGGAGAGTAAATATGGAAACCAAGGGAAGAACCTTGGCACTTGCATGCTGGGTATATTAGTTATGTACTGCTATGCCACAAATTGTCCCAAAACTTAGCAGCTGGAGACTCAGGAGCCTGGGAGCACTTTATCTGGGTGGTTCTCACTAGTGGTCACTCATGGAACTGTCATCAAATGTTAACCAGGGCTGCTGTCATCTGTAGGCTTGACTGGGGCTGGAGAATCTGCTTCCAAGATGGTGCACCCAAATGGTTGGTGTCTAGATGGCCTCAGTTCCAGACTGCATGAACAACATGTGGGACCTCTTGGGTATCCTCAAGATGTGGAGGCTGGCCAGCTTCCTCCAGAGAGAATGACCCAAGACAGAGAGAGCAAGAAAGACCCCATGTATCTTTTCTGACCTATCCTAGGAAGCCATATACTATTACCTGTGCTGTATTCTGTTAGTCATATAGATGAACCCTGATATGATGTGGAGAGGAATCTATAAGGGTAGGAATACCAGGAAGTGGGGATCATTTGGGGTCATATTGGAAGCTGGCAATCACATTGAGGGTAGAAAAAGAAGACAAACAAAACTTAGAAAGATGGGAGGGATAGTTTAGCTGGGGAAACAGGACTGTTGCATGGGAAGACAGCTGCCTCTCACACTTGTGGGCTCTTCTGGCACCCTAAACGGGCCTCTGAACTCCTTCAAAACACTCTGTCTCCAGAAAGTGTGCTGGCAGAGAAGCTTTTGTTCTCTTTTCAACTGACTCCCAGACCACTTCCCCTGTGCCCAGCAGTGTGCCGAGATCTCCCTGAGGTTAGCACCATCATCTCGCCAGTTTATAGGTAATGGGAGAGGCAGAAGTCACTAGTCCAAATTCTCAGAGTGAACACAATATAGGAGTGGACTATGAGCCTGAGCTTCTCAAATCCTGAACCCTTTCTCTTAACCTCTGTGTCACTGTGATGAGTACAGAGGCCTGTGTTCTTCAGCTGGAAGCTCCAAACAACACAAACCCATATAAGCAACAAGACGAAATGCAAGGGATGACCCCACAGTGTCCCAGAAGCTACTGGGAGGGGAAGAACTAATATCCACTGAGCCCCGGCTCTGTGCCAGGCACAGGTCAGGCAGAGATAGAGAAATCGAGGTGTGCTTACCGTCCTCGGAATTTGCTTTGTTCTCAGTGGGCTGCTCGATGAACTTCAGCAGTGGGGATCTTGATCTCTGTATGGTGGGGAGAGCAGGGTCACTGAACAGTATGGTGTCCTTGCCCCCTGTCACGGAAAAGGGGAAAACGGACATATTATGTCACTAGAGGAGTTGTGGTTATGTTCACCCCACACAATGGACTGGCTGTTGGGTGAAAAAGGCTCTTTCTTTAATCACAGGTAACACTGTGGAAGGGCAATGGCCAGCCGGTCCCTTCTATAGTGTGAGGACCAGGCAGTGAGGTCCAGGGCCAGTCTATGAGTCTGTTCAGGACACAGGCACCCACAAATGCCCCCATGAAGGAGCAGCCTGGTGTCCTGGGCAAAACCCAAATGGCTTTGATCTGGGTGAGACTAGAACAGTCATAACCACAGGAGAGGGCTGAGGAGTGTGAGCTTTGGAGCCACACTATGGGGTCTGTGTCCTGGACTCCATCCCTTGTGAGCTGGCTGACCTCAGGCGAGTCACTCAGCCTCAGAGCCCTCATCGGTAAGACGAGGAAGAAGGACAGCGCCCACCTCACTGTGAGGTGGTGGTGAAATGAACTGATTCATGTAAAGCCCTTAAGCATTTCCCTAGTGCTCAATGTCCTATACCGAAAGTATTATCTTATGGTGTAGACAGCACTGCCATATATGCTACCTTTGATTTAATTCAATGTGGTCATTTGGACTGAGTCATAACGTGGGTAGTACCAGGTCCCCCAAATTGTTACAGCTAAACTTGCACTTAGAACATATAGTCCCATACTAACCAAACCCTTGTATCTATTTGTATGAACTCCCCCAATGGATGGAGAGGCTGAGGGAAAGAAGAACATTATAGCTCTACTGTGGAGGCCATGGAAAGTTCCAGAAATCTGGAGCAGGAAGTGTAGCTCTGAAACGTGAGCACGTGAACACAGACACATGGACACGAAACATGTGGACATAAAGGGAGTCTGTCCAGTGGTCAGGAGAGCACAGCAAGCAGGATTTGACCCCAGACTTCTGTCTACGAGACTTTGGGATTCCTTCGGTGGGAACTGCAGTGCCCAAAATCAAAACCCCAGGGCTGTGGGCCCAGCCTATGCTCTAGCCTTAGCCATCTAACTTTGAGAAAGACCTTTTCTAAAGCCAAGCCTCTAATCTCTCTAGGGCTCAGATCAGGGGCCCCAAAGCTCTGTAATTTTACTTGGTTTCAGGTTCAGTGGACACAGAATGGTATTTCTGTAAAGACGTTTCTGCCTTTAGAGAACCAGGTGAACCTTGGACTATACCTATGAGCCCTTGGTTTGTTCACAATACCATCTTCCCATTAGGGAGCTTCATTTTCAAGACTGTGGGAGAGAGTTTGGCATAGAGTAGGTGCTTAATAAATAGCTGGTAAGGATCTGAATACATGGGTGATGGATTCTTGGGGCTCCTGATGTCATGCTGGGCACAGGTGCTCGGGGCTGCCTCCGGCAGATGGACTAGGTTGTTAGCAGCAACAGCACTCTGAGTTCTGCTGAGGGTCATCCCAGAAGAACAGGCATCTGAAAGGAGCCGATCTGAAAGCTTGCCACCAGCATGACTATTGTCTCATGTGGGAAAAAAACCCCAAGTCTTCAGAGTCATAGTCTGGAGGAGTGTCCCAAAGAGAACTGTCCATCTACAGGTTGGGATAGTGTTAAGAGGCTCTCAGAAAGCAAGAAACACAACTGGGTCTTCCTCTTTACTGTGAAGACACAATTTGGAAATGCTTTGAGGGACTAATGGTTCCTATGAACCCAGAGCAGACACCTCGTCATAGACTTCCTTTGTTTTTCTTGACCAAGGCAACAGCTACTGTCCTCAAGTCAGGAGAGACTGCATTTTTTGAGCCACCTTTCTCTAGCAGGTAGACTGGTTGTTCTTCCATGAAGAGACACACTCTGCCCCTCTGTGTCCCAACCAGCCTTCCAAGTCCCTTGTGGCCTCGTGGCTGAAGAATCAGGACTAAGGTGGCCTGAGGGAGGCCCTCAGCCCCTCCGGTCATGAGCAATTCTCTAGTCCCTCCAGCCACAGGGCACCGTCTGTTCCATAATAGTTCCGTAAAAATGCTGGAGCAACATGAAACCTCCAAGCATTAGTGAAGGAAACCGGAGCCATGACTTGTCCTTGGCCAATCGAGGTGGGGGTCGGGGAGTAGCCGAACACTTCCTGAAATTCCTGCCTAGAGATATCTAACCTGAATCTTTAAGATAAAATGGCAAGATTTGGTCATTCTTGCAAAGTGTTTGTTGAAAGATTCAAAGGCCTCCTTGGAAGCCTGTCCTATTGTTTCTAAGTCTGGATTCCATCTATGCTGATGAATGTGAGCTCTAATCTGATAGTCGGCTGTCTTGCAGTTTCATTCTGGTGCCTCGCCCTGGAGGAGGTGGCGTGGGGTGAGGTGACCCACAAAGAGTCAAGCGGCAGCCGGCAGCCGGGCAGAAAGCCACACAGGCAGGCCCCTCGCTTGTGCGGCACATGAGTGTCTGGAAACTTTCCCGATTCCCTGGGACACAGCATCCCTCCTCCCCTTCTCCCAAATGTACCAAGTACTTTCAAAATGCACATTTTCCTCCTCAGGCTGATGCTTCGAGTGGAGAAGAGAGAATTAAAATGAAAAACTCAAAGAGCCAGGTTCTGCACTTGCCAGGATTTTTTTTTTTTTTTTTTCTGGCTTTCAGTGTTTCTTTTTAGAGCAGGAGCACATCCAGGAAACCTCTCCTTGGAGCCCCAGGCACCACTCTCCCTACAAAGGCTGGCAAAGGGCTTGGGGACTGAGGCCGATGTGTGGAGGGGGTGTCATTTCCTCCCGGGAGACCACGTCAGTTGCCCCTCACCCACCCAACCTTTCTCAAAGGAGCCCCATGCCTTCCCACCTCTTGGGAACCGATGAAATAGTTTGGAATATGCTCTGCTCTCCAGATGATATCTCCACGCAGACTGTGGCATTTGTCAGACTTGCCTACTTCCCAGCAAGATCACAAATTTTCCCCAATTCTATTGAACAACATCGAGAACTACATATTCGTTGGCTGAGAGAGTGAGGAGGGAGGGGAAAAAAGACTCAAAGAATACTCATTGCATGCTCAAAGTCCAATAGCAGTTCTGTCTCAGAGTAAGGTAGAATTCACCACTGCCCTTTGGAGTCTCAGAGGAGACTGTTTTGGCTTCTGAATCCTTCTTCTCCAGTTCCCAGCTGATCTATCCCTCCCCCACCCCTGCCCAATTCCTCTCTTCTCTGAGCTATGGTTCCCCAGCACACGTGGGAAAACACCTGAGTTCTAATATCTACCTCTGCATCCTTTTGATATCCTCCCATTTCTAAACCTTTGTTTTTTTCCATCTGAAATGAGGTTATTAGACTAGATCAGGGAGGGGGAAATGTTTTCTCTCACACGTCAACTCTAACCAGTTGGAGGCTTCCTGGAAAGCCAGTGTGGACGTCTGTTCTGAGGGCCACATATGAGGGCAGCATGCAAGAGCCATGGGATGGATTAGTAATGTCTGCCACTGGTGTTGGAATGGGTGTTTTATAATATACACCAAGTATTTACCATACTTGAACTCTTTGCTCTCAACTCTCCCTGCAGGTCTGATGTTTGATGACTCTTCACCTTCTTCATTTACACCCCAACACCTTTATCACTCAGCACTTAATTATATATCATTCTGTACTTTCTTCTCACTGCTAGATGTGTATGCATCTTGCTTCCCTAAAGGGACTATGGATTCTTGGAGAGGGCGTGACTAGAATGCCTGATACAGAAATGAATTCACAAAGTCGATGCTTGAAAATGTATCAACACATTGATGGACTGATTTATTGAAGAAGATACTGATCCTTTCAGATGCTAGTAAATAAGAGTGAGCTAACAACTCTCTGAAACTACTGGGACTCAGTCCCTGCCAGGTGGCTGAAACGCTGACAAGGCTTCTACCTGGGGAGAGGAAGAGGAAGAGGAAAAATGTGGAAGAGAAAGAGGAAGAGATGGAGAAGAAGAAAGGATGATGAGGAGGTGGAGGTGGAGGAGGAGGAAGGGGAGGGAGGGAGAGAGGAGGAAGATAACACACTGCCCCTTGCCCCACTCTTTGGTAGGTAAAATGGGGTCCACAAAACAATGAGTGTGTGGAAGTGGCTGATTGGATTGATACTGCAAGGGGCCCTTCCCTTAGTATTTCTCACCGTGGTTTAAAAATGACCACAAGGCAGTGCCTCGTTGAGAATCCTTCACAATAGCAGCAAAGCAATGCTCTTTCCCTTACATCAACTGTACCAGATCTGTACCACCCTTGTCCTGTACTCCCACTCTGTGTCTGCAAGGAGGCCAGATACTAGAACAAACATGGCCATGGCATAAAATCCATTTAGCCGGGTCCCTCAAAGCTCATTTTACCATTGAATATTTACTTGGTACTAATTGAATTCTCCATTTCAATGGACTGTTCTAATCAGAAAAGTGCAATGATACATAGAGAATGCATTTCTATTTATTTACATGCAGGGATGATGATATTAATGCATTGCTGATATTAGCCACAAACACAGATATTTGAAATAGAACATACTCCCGAATCCTACTGAAACATTGTAGCTCAGGCCTTCAGGCAGCAAAAAGGAGGAAAGAAAGAATTGTTAATGCATAATAGCCATTCCTTCCCAGAACAAATAACACCGGAGACAGAAAATTCTCAGCATCCTTCGACTTACTCAACTTCCATCTTTTTTACATAAATTGTAGAAATAAAACATCGTGAAATTTCACTAAGTCATTTGGAGGGAAAAAAAATAAAAACTCCAGTCCGTGCCCAGAAATAGCAATCTGACTGCACAAATAAACGATAAATTTGCCTGACTGTGTTGAAATTCAATGCAGCCAAAGAAAGGCCTTCAAAGAAGATAAGGTTTTAACCGCATCAAAAGGTTCTTGTGCAAAATGGATCATTCAAATCCCCAGAATGGCACTTGCCACTAATTAGTTCTGTTAGGTCTTTTGACATCAAGTTCAAGGAATCTGCTAAAACTTCCAATTTATGAAATGCACTTTCAGGCAACCTAAGGTTGCCTCCTCAGATTACATTACGGGAACGTGTTGTTGTCCACGTTCCTGTGGCAATTTTCATTTCTCGAACATTACCATTATGGGGCAGCAACTGATACAATTCAAGGGTAGAGAAAGCTGGTTTGTGCAGAAAGGTTAAGTAACTAAAAATATATGTACAATGTTGCTTCCAGGGAAAGAGGAGGGGGTGGAAAAATGATAAATACAAGTTTCTGGAGAAAAAGAAAAGGGGAATAGCTGATGGGGGTCTCACAGAGGGGTTATTTTACCAAGACAAACAGGATAAATATAGCTAATTAAAGTGAAACATCAGAGTTTCCTTGCAACGTGTACAATTGCGGGGGGGAAAAAAAAATCTCCAAAGGAAAGTTTGATTTTCAAGTTGCATAAAATGGGATAGGGGAAGAGAGGAGAAGAAGGTTCTTATACTCATTTTTATATTCATTCTTAGGAATGATAATTAAATAGAACAAATTTTTCTCAGTATATTTATTTTTAGGTATGATTCATTCATTTTTTTAGGAATGATAATTAAATAGAACAAATTTTTGTCAGTTCTTATATTCATTTTTAGGATTGAGGAGTAAATTGAACAAATCTTTGTATATTCTTCTACTCATTTTTAGGGATGATAATTAAAATGAACAAATCCTTATAAAATACCTAGGGGTAAAAAAAAATGAAACAATTTACTATATCCATAAAGGTGAAAAATAAAGTATACACAGACACAGACAATGACAATTTCTGAATTTAGGCTAGCAAAACTTGAGAGTTCCACAGATGGGAACTTGAATATTTATATGAGTTTCTCTGATTTCCTCAAAATTGATGGTTTCTGTGTTTAAAGCACTTGCAGATTTTTTCAACAATGATCTTCAAATAAAAGGATATTTAAAAACTAGAATCTTCCTTGCAAATTAGGTAAAGGCTGCCTTTTTTAAAAAAGGAAAATAACTTTCATGAAGTTCTGCTTACCTGGAAGACTCCACAAACCAGAAACTTCCAGAGTTCTTAATTTTTTCTCCAGTTCAGCCACCCGATTCCCTAGGATTCTGGAAAACGGGAGAAAATGACAACAGACAAAATTAATGAGCATCTCATCAGCTCTAGAGTGCCCTGACAGAAAATGTTTTGAGATTTAAAGTGTATGCAGAAAACGCAGTGTGTATGCATGTGCAAAAAATATATGTGTAAAATATGTAATACATTATACACAAACTCTGTTGAACGTACCTATGAAAATATAAAGTGAATGATGAAAAAAATACTAAATGTTGCCATTCAAGTGAGTCCTCTCCCACAAAAGTGGGGAAGCTAAACAATTATTCCATTGTTGCCCAAACGTCTTACACAATTTCTGTTTGGGAATTGCTCATTGCTAAAGATTATAATTCATTTTGAATACCCTTAGTGGTATCATACCTGATTCTTTGAGGGTGGATCTGAGTTCTGGAAACCATGAAGTCTAACCAGTAAGACGGGTGAACGTGTGTAATGAAGTTGCTTTGAGTCAATAAAATAAGATCTGCCTTCCTCAACCTAATCTATGTCTGAGACCATATCCTTGATACCAAGCCGAATGCCCAGTTGAGGGTTGGTGTTCAATAAACATATTTGATTAAAGAAAATGCTTTCATTTTTCCCTGGCTTGCAATTATCTACAGACAGAATGAAAAAATAGGCTTTTCAAAAGAACTTCCAGCAATTGCAGAATCACTAGAAGAATTATATTGCTTTCCAAGGTGACCATTCTGAGGCACTGGCACATATAATTTCTGGAACATGTATCTGAAAAGATTATACTGTTTACTTGGGAGTCAAACTTTGTCTGAAAGCATGGAAAAACATAAATGTGGGCTTGTGTTTCCCCTTTTCCACTTTACACAAAATTAAACATAGTTGGGAAATGATTTTATAATCATCTCAAACTTGGATCACTTTCCATTGGCCTAAAAGTTGAAAACCCAGTCTTTATATTATTTGGGGGATTTTCTTGGCACTGCCGTTGTTAAATGCGGAAATCACCTTAATAGCAAAGTTTCAATTCCTTTCAGCAGGAGAAATCAAAGGCTAGAATTGTTCTCCTACCTCTCTTTATATCCTGGAGATAGCTGCACACACCCACATACATACAGAGGCGTGAATATGTATATATCTACACATATATATATGGTTTTGGATTCATCCTTATTTTACCTGAATTGACTCGCAGCATCTTAATTAATATTCCCTTTGAGCTCCCAGAAAACTCTGATGTTACTATCTGTGATTTTCTTCACCTAGGTACTTGAAGCTTTTCTTCTTTTCCTTAAGTCTTAAATTCTGCATAGTCTTTATCAATTACTTTCAATTTTCACCTTATTTGTTGGGTCTATTCTGCTTTCATGTCCCCGACCCTTCAATAAAGACCATTCTTCGTAATCTCACTTTAAATATTTTGCTCAGACCTTCTGATCCAAGCTCCCTTTTCACCAGCTGATGGGTTTGAGATGCAATCACAGCAGAGTTCAAGTTGATGCCTGTTTCTTAATGAGATCAGATCACCTGTGAGCGAGGCCTCTTGGAAAACAAAAGATAAGGCTTAACTCTTCTGTGTGTGCTGAAGGATGCCATCAGAGCAACCTTCGAAGGCATGGTAAAGAGACATTTGGTTGCTGTTTTCTTTTTTTTTTTTTTTTCCCCGATGTCCCCGGATAACAGAGCTCTGTCTCCCAGAAATGGACTGAGGTGAATTTGCTGGTTCCCCCTACTTTGAGGGACCCTGCCTGTTTGTCAGCAGTGCCTGTTCTCTTTGGCCTGACACAAGCATCTGACACAGAGCAGGAGGTAGTAAAATGGACCCAATGGGAATTGTGCTAGTAGTGATAGTAGCAATAACATTATCCAGAACACTAGCAACCACACCACCGCTACCATGAACAGCGAAACTAATCTTTCTTGAGTCCTGGCTCTGAGTCAGAGCCCATGCTGAGCAGCTACTGAGCATACATGATCTCATCTGACCTGACAAAAACCCTGTGGTGTACGTTGTATTATTACCCTTTCACAGATGTGGATCATAAGGAACACAGAGGTTAAGCAACCCGCCCAAAGGTATACAGTTTATCTCCAAGCTGTGTCTGTTGCCGACCCCCAGTGCACTCATCCACCTCACTCTTCTCCTCCCATTGGGAAACAGAGGCACGGAAATTAGTTAATTTGACCAGAGTCACAAGCAGGACTCAGGATTTGAACCTGCAACTCCGTTTGTTGCCGCAATACATGTCTTAATTAGCACCTCACAGTGGTCCTGTAAAACAAGCATGCTTGTGTCTGGAGCAAGACCTCTTTAAAAACTGTTCATAATTGAAATGTGGATGCAGCTGGGCTGGCTTGTATCACAGCTGGCCCAAAAGTCCTCAAAGGATAAAAAGACTCTTCCTGATGGGTTTCACGCTGAACAAATACGGCCGGTGGTCCACGGAACGTGGGGTGGTGCAGCCCAGCGAGAGAGGGCAGCAGGCATCGAGGGAGGCAGTAAACACAAGAACAGGGTCCACTGAATTCAGTTTGACCAATTCAGCACACAATTGTTGAGGCTGTAGGGGATAATGAAGAGAAGCAGGCTGTATCCCTGTATTTGAGTATTTGAGGGACTAAAAGTCTGGTGGGAAACAGATGTGGATACACACACACACACATACACACACACACGTACAGAGCCTGTCAAAGGTTTGAATAATATCTCCCAATCACCTGTTCTCTAGCAGGCATTACTCTAAGCACCACACAGACAGTGTCTCCCTTACCCCTTGCAACAACTGAAGAGGGAGCTTTTAATATGCTTCATTTGTGGATGAGGGAACAGAGATTCAGAAAGGTCAACTAACTCACCCAGGGTGACGCAGCTGCTAAGTGGAGGGTCCGGAATCAAAACGTGGGCCTGAAAGCATGCAAGTACTTCAGAGTGGAAGTGAACCACAGAGTGGAAGTGAAGTAAATGAGGGCTGAATCCAGAGTGGTTTTGAAGGACCCAGATCATGAATGAACTTGTTGCCGTATTGAGAAGGGTGAGACTTTTCTATGTCGGCAACAAAAGTGAGGTATTGGAAGGTCTGAAGCAGAGGTGCAGCAAGACGATGTTTAGGGAAAGTATTCTTGAGGCAGAGTGGAGAATGGACTGTTATCAGTATGAGTAGAAGCAGGAAGACCAGTCAGAAGGGTGATGTCCAAGTCAGTGATAGTGGTGGCCTCCAACAAGCCCAGGGGGCAATGTGGGAAGTCAGCTGAATGAAGTAACAATGCCAAGGTAGGTGAAGAATTTGAGGTGCCTATGGGATATCCATGGAGACAGCCAGTCACGTGATAGAAGAAAAGTCGGGGAATGCAGAGATGGGCATGGAGGCTGGGGAGTAGATCTGCTCACCAGCAGAGGGTGAGAAGTCAGAAGAACCTGACCCTAGAGATTCCTGTCTAAGGCAAGAAAGAACTAGAAAGGCATAGCTGGACAGGGAAGAGGAGAGCCAGGCCACATGGGGCCAGGAAGCCAAGGGGTGTGAGAGACCCAGGTGGGATGTCAATACTGTTTTATTCTGGAAAGTGGTCACATTAGATGAAAAAGTCTACCTAGTAGATGTGCCTGACCCTTGAGAGAGATGTTTCAGGACAGTGGATGGGGGTGAAACCCAGAATCCAAGTGACAGGGTTGGGAGAAGCAGACTTGGGGCAACCAGAAGCAGGGAATACAGATGACTCTTCAAGTAGTTTAGCACGGAATCGAAAGAGACAGCTAGGGCAGTAGCTTGAGGCATAAACAGGTTTGAGAGAGGATTTTTTTTTTTTAATTTTTTGTAGGAGGGGAGAGATTTTAAAATAAGGTTTTTTATTTAGCTATGGTTTGTTTTAGGAGGGATTTCAGCATATGTCTACCTAGCAGTCTAGGAAAATCCTCAGGATGTCAGGCCTCCAGACAGATTTTCAGTAGTAGTTTCTGATAGTAACAATGTGATAGGGGATTGGCAAAGACAGAACCAACTCGGGAGCTGGCCATCACTGTGTGTCTGTTCCTGTTCCCCAGACAACACGGGAGCAGAAATCCCTGAGGGTCCTTGGGGAGAGCCCAGTCCTTAAGACGTGACTATGGCTCTATCCTGTCCTCCCTTCCAACCCTATGTGGCCTTCTTTTGACTCTCTGCTCTGATCCATGACAGCTCATGCTGCTCTCAGTGTCTTGAACTTCCGAGCCATTTACCCTTGGCCAGAGTGGGGGAGAGCAATAAACAGTATTAGGATTGCAGGAAGGGCAGTGAAAGGTCACTATCTTCATGTACCCACCACCATCACCAGCACCGGCACCCTACCACCAGCAAAGTATTGACTGGAAAACTAAACGGGGTGTTCGGTAAAACATGATTTAAACATCTGCCTCTTCTGTTACTGTTTTGCTACCTGTTGATAAGTCACAGGATGCTCATCCCTTCTTTAGCAATAGTCAGATAATTGCCAACTCTTTGGCAATGAGTACCTCAAGCAAAATGCCCATTAATTGAAAATCCTCTCAAAAAATAAAGTCCTGTGTGGATCCCTTCGTTCTTCAAGATGGCTCCCATTGGGCCTTCTCAAGGCGGGTTGAGTGGCAGGCAGTGGAAAGCCAGTAGGGGGAGCACAGGCTTACAGAAACAGAATACCTTTATTCTCACTTAGAATGCTCCACCAACACAAAACTATTATATTATTTTAGTTACAAAAGGGGGATTACAGCAAGCAGACCAAATTCAGATTTTATTCCTAGCCCCCACTCTGTTGTATAGTTTTTTTTTACATGCCCCCAAATAAAACATTTACTGAAAGTATGAAACCAAAGACCTTCTAAGTTTTAAAGATGGCACATTAGGTACTTTATGTATGGATAGGAAGCAATCTTTAAGATCTATTGCTATGGGGGGGAGCAAGGTGAAGAACAGCGGGAAAAAAACATCTTTTTGGTGAATACTAGCTACAATTTGTAAGAAGAAAGAAAGAAAAGAAAGGAAGGAAGGAAGGAAGAGAGAAAAGACTATATTTATACAAGTATATATGAGTATTTATATGTGTCTGTGGAAATGTGTTATATGTTTATTTCCATACGCACCCTTGGAAAGGGATACATAAGAAATAAGGAATAGTGTGGTTCCTTCCAGGAAGGGGAATTGGGGGCTGAGAGATGGTGGTAGTTTAAGGATACATTGTTGTTTAACCTTTAAAATTTGAACCATGAGATGGTACAGAATTATTGAATAATAGTTACAAATAACAAGGTACATTAAAACAAAATTAAATCTGAAAACAAAAACAAAAACAAAAAACAAAATTAAATCTGTCAAAACGAGCAAGCCTGTTTCTCAACAGAGGATGCGCGCCCATGGAGCCTGGGCGGGCTGGTCACGGTAGAGTTAAGACAGGGCAGGTGCTAGGAAATCAATGTGTCCTGAGAGGCAGGAGCGTCAGGTTGACAGTCTGGGGTTCCTGAGTTCAGCGGGCAGCAGGATTTAGCTTTAACAGTTCTGCTTTTTCCTGAAACCCATTTTACACTATGTTAATTAACTAGAATTTAAATAAAACCTTGAAACAAACACGAAAAGTCCAGCTTTTTAGTGGGGGCTTGTAACGTCCTCAGAACTGTAGCTGGGGGCGTGGAGTTGAGAGAGGGCGGAGCTTGGCTGTGGAGGAGGGTCTGGGGTCTGCGGTTGGAGGATCAATGGGAGGGTCTTCCCAAGGGAGAGGTGATAGTGGGGTGGGACCAAAGCTGAGGGGGCAGGGAGAGCATGTAGACTGAAGGCCGAGGACAAGGACCTAACATATACAGAGTCCAGGAAAACCGTAAAGAATATCAAGGGAACAAGAAAAAGGATTAAAAGATGATTCCATCATCCATTCATTAAACAAGTATAAGGACATACAGTGGGCCCAGCACTGTCCTCCCTACTGGGAGGCAACAGCGATTCTATTCTAATGGGACAGCTTCAACCTGCATAATGTGGAGGTCTGTTGATTGAATCAGGAAGGTGGGCAGAGCCCATTAAATATTCTTCAAATCATGCTTTAAATGGCTGCAGAATAGTCTATCTTATGGATTTACTATAATCTTTTTTTTTTTTTTTAAGATTTTTATTTATTTGACACAGAGCGCGCGCACGAGAGAGGAAACGCAAACGGGGAGGAGCAGAAGAGGGAAAAGCAGACTCCCCTCTGAGCAGGGAGCCCGTGGATAGGCTGAGATCATGACATGAGCTGAAGGCAGACCCTTAACAACTGAGCCAGCCAGGGATGCCTGGAGTTACTATAATCTTAACCAGTCTCCAACTTGAAAACATTGGCAGGGGGCACCTGGGTGGCTTAGTTGGTTAAGCATCTGACTCTTGATTTCCACTCAGGTCATGATCTCAGGTTGGTGAAATCAAGGCCTGCGTCAGGCTCTGTGCTCAGCATGGAGTCTGCTTGTGATTCTTTCCGTCTGTACTCATGCACTCTCTCCCTCTCAAAACAAAATAAAATATAAACAAAAACATTTGGGTTGTTTCTGTTTTCTCCCCTGTTATAAATGAATCCATTTATGTGAACCTGAGGACATCATACTGATTTTTTTCTTTAGGATAAATTCCTAGATGCAGACCATATGGGTCAAAGGGTGCAAGCATTTTCAAGGGTCTTAAAACGTACTAAGGAGTGGGTGGCCCAGAGTCTAGATTCCTTGAACACGAAGAGCTGAAGGTATATGGGGGGAAAATGACAACCTATCGTTGGAAATGTGGGTACTGCTCTGGGTGGTGAGGTGGGTTCAAGAGTTCTGAGAAGTGCCTGCAGAAAGTGAGAAGCAATCATGCAGGGGGTGGGGGAGATGAAGCCCCCAGGTAGGGTAAGGAGATCAGAAGGCCTGGTGGAGACCTGGGTTGAAGCAAGGGGCATGGAGGGAATCGAGGGGATGAGAAGAAAGAGGAATCCAAGGAGATAAGTGCAAGATGCAAATTGGGATTCAGAGAAATCAGAAAAGAAACACTCAGAAAGTGGGGTTTGGGGGTACTGGAGACCCTCAAAGGGAGATGGCTATGGAACATCTGGAAAGAGGTCTCAGGAGGTGTTGAAGCCGAAGTGGTCTTTCTTTCCTGGGGCTGGCTCAGATCCAGAAACCCGACGTTCCCTCCAGAAAACCCCTCAGAATCTGCATTTCAGAACCAGTGCCTCTGAGTAATTCTGACATGGGTGCTCTCAGGAGCACAGTTTGAGGGGGTGCTATTGAAGAAGTAAAGGCAGCCTTCTTGTTCACAAAGATGCTGGGTGAGTGGAATTCAGGGGGAGCTGCAGTGCTGGGGAAAGACTATGGAGGTTCAGGGAGCTCTGTGTGGTGTCTGGGTGAAGAGGCAGAAGCCAGGGCTGGGGGCAGGAGTGGACTAGGTGGGATGAGTTGCTCACAGGGGAGTCAAGCCCAGAGGAGGGAAGATGGTGTGGACCAACAGGATGGTGGGTGGGTGTGTTTCCCAGAGCCAGGAGGGAGAAGGTGGAAGGCACTGGTTCCAGAGGAGGGTAAGTCTTGGGGTTCCTGGGAAGGCGCATCTATTTTTTTCCATAAAAGAGCAGCTGAGGTTACCTGCTGAGAACAGACTAGGGTTTAGAGGACCTGAGAAGGTTTGAAAGAGCCCCAGTGGGTGCTTTATAGGGAGTCAGTGAGGACAAAGAAGGCTCATGCAGAACACTATCGGCTGCAGGGGATTCTGTCTGGATAAAATAGACCTCGTACCTATTCTGGGGAGATTTCCATTTCTTCTCCCTCCCCTGAGATGTCTCTGCATTTTAGCACCTGACTGTCTCATTCCTTGGTTAAGGTTTCTTTTAAAAGAATTTTAAAAACTTCTTCTGTCAATAAATTACCCTTGTCATCCCTCTAAGATTGCCCAGACTCCCTCTACTGCTCCCTGCCTTCTTTTATATATATCTTAATCTCCTGCGCGATCTTCCCTTCACTCCCAGCTTCTCTTTTTTTCTATTTTGTTTTTACAACACTCTCAATCATGTTCCAGTTGCCTCTTTCCCCGTGCCCCTCCCCCTTGCCAGGACCCTGCTTCCCTCCTTCCCTCACCCCTTCCATCCTTGCTGGAAGCCCCAGCATTTCAGAGCCTGCTCACTTCTTGCACGGCTTCATTTTGGGACTACGTGTAGGTTTCATAAGCAGGACCAGCTACATAATTCTGGGGCCCACCGCAAAATGGAAAGGCAGGCCTCCTTGTTCAAGAATGATTAAGAACCTCAAGATGGCAACCATGGAGCTCTGAACCAAGGGCAGGTCCCTTCCGAGCATGGTCGCTTGTCCTCAGAGCCAGCCCTGTTCACGGTGTCTGTTGCTTTAACTTATTGTTGTTCACCATTCTTTGAACACCTCCAATTTGCGTGTGTCTCTAATGGCTACTAACTTGAGTCGATATGTTTATAAGAATCAGGGAAGGGGCGCCTGGGTGGCTCAGTGGGTTAAAGCCTCTGCCTTCAGCTCAGGTCATGATTCCAGGGTCCTGGGATGGAGCCCCACATCGGGCTCTCTGCTCAGCGGGGAGACTGCTTCCTCCTCTCTCTCTGGCTGCCTCTCTGCCTACTTGTGATCTCTGTCTGTCAAATAAATAAATAAATAAATAAATAAATAAATAAATCTTTAAAAAAAAAAAAAAAAGAATCCGGGAAGACACTCTATTTTAATTGCTCTGTCCCACCACTTTCTCTGCTTCTCTGGAAGAGTGACATGACACTCCCTTCTAGGCCCAGTTGCCTATGAAAGTTGATGCTTGGCCTTCCTGCTGGTCCAAACCCCCCAGTGTCATGCTGTAAGTTATGATGGTACCGAGGAGGCGCCCTCCCTGAAGGAGACCCACAGGAGAGGTAGGGTGAGTCACCCGGGCAATCGTACTGTCCATGTCGTCTGCATTCCTCAGTGAGTGGCTCCGAGTAAGTGTTCACTCTGTAATGGCTGGTAGTATTGTCCCCCTCCCCCACTCTGGCAGATGGCTGAGATGCTGTCACAATGTGGACACAACATTCTAGTTTAGGAGGTGACCTTCCAGACTTAAGTGCTCCCCTCCCCTCCCCCAAAGGTCTGCCATCCCACCTGGCTGCAACCCCCCACTGGTGGCCAGCATCCCACATCTCTCCCACCCACCCCCACCCAAGGGTCCAGTCACCTACTTGTTGGTCTGCCTCTGGTGCTGGATGACCATGTTTTTCTCGTGGATTGTCTCTAGCAGGGCTGTTGCCAGAGATTTCAGATCAGAAATGGACTGTGGAGTGGCTGGGAGACTGCACCCGTGATCTTCGGATAACAGATCCTGAACTGGGTGGGATACAAAGTTTACAACTGAGTCTTAAGTCCTTCTGGAACACTGCAATGTAAACCTATGTCCGATCTTCCTGGATAATGAAGCTAGGTTAAGCTCCCGGCTTCTAAATGCTATGATGAAGTATTGAAGAATCCACTTCTGGTGTTTTTGTTTATTTTTAAAACAAAATAAAATTTAGTGTGAGGGTTGAACAGAAACAAGGAAGTTCTCATGGATTTTTATCACCCACTTCTTAAAGGGATAATAATCTTTTGCATTTGTCCAGCATCTCACCCTTTCAAAATGCTTTATACTAACTCATTTGAGGCCCAAAATAAAAAAAAAAAAAGATAAAATAAAACCCACCTGGGAAGTATTATTTATCCCTATTTTATGGACAGGAAAGCAAGGTGCTGATGGATTAAAAACATCAGCTGGAGGTCACACAGCCATGCAAATGGCAATGACCCTGGTCCCGAGCTCCTTGCTTTGTGGCAGAGTTTCCTATAGCGTGCTATGTTCTGTGGGCGGCAAGATCCTATGGGGCATTATTTAAAATACAAAATATATTTTGTGTCTGCATCTTTTTAGAAACCATGAGTTACCATAAAAAAGACACAGCCTGTGCTCCTATCAGACAGAAAAAAATAAATCTCTCACTACATCTCTGAACATCCTTTTCTATATGCCTATACATAGATACACAGATTCATACATTTTTCTTCTGAAATGAGAAAAAGCTCTTCTTTTTTTCAGTTAACCCAACTCTTCATCATCAATATCTCCTAAAACATAAAATGTAAAGGCAGCTTGGGAGCCCATTGTGTAGATAAAATTTATTTAATTCCTGCTGGACATTTATGTTACTTTCTATGTTTTTTTTTTTTCCTCATAACTAATGGAGGAAGAACTTGCCTCAAGCAGTATGTTTTCAGACATTGGTAATTATTTCTTGCTGCTCAAAGGGGATGAGTTCAAGCTTTGTCAAAATAAGTTGCCAGAGGGTTATCCAGAAAGGCTCTGGCAGGCTTAGGGCGTGGTGTTTGAATGTGGCTGGCATTCCCCACATCAGTGATGGGACTGGGTCTCACCATTCAAAGATGTTTGGCTGTCCAGGGTATCCAGAGCTGAACTCACATGACTACTTCACATTTCTGGGGAGTACTGAGGTTTTCTGTTTAAAAACAATTCTAGGGTGTCTTTTTTCTAGTTGAGTGGAAAAACAGAAGTTGCTTAGAAAAGTGCTTTGGTTATTAGGTCGGCTGAAGATTCAGCACTTTTTTTTTTTTTTTCCCCTAGCCACTCCAGCTTTGATTAAGACTCCTGCATGATCGTTGCTGGTCTGTGTGGCCGACAACCCAAAACTGGGCCAGTCGCCCATGTTCAACCTGAGGCTTACGCTGAGAACTGAGTTCCCAAATATTAAGTGTCAGAAGCAAGCTCTCTGCTATTTATTCCCCTGGACTGTTCCTGGGAGATCATTATTTTTCATCAGAATCGACAAGGAGGAGGAACAGAATTGCAATCAATAAAAGCTTCTTTGAAAAAGGCACATGTTCCGTGATAAAATGATTTCAGCAGCTGTGAGACTCTTCTATTCTGGTCACAGAGGCCAGAAAAAGGAGAAACTTGGCAAGGTTGGAACATGGACTCATGGATGTTAAATCGGTGATCGAAGGAGGGAAAGTGTTCTTGAAGGAAGAGCACAGGCTAGGGGACCAGATGTGAAGGGGGTCCCGTTATTAGAAAAACGTCTAATGCAGTGGTTTTCAAAGCAGGATCCCAGAACCAGCATCAGCAACACCTGGGAACTTTCTAGAAATGTGCATTCTCTGGGGCCTCACTGTACCTAAAGTCAAAAACTCTGTGTGTGTGTTGGGACAGGGTTGGGGGCAGTAATCTGTGTTTTCAAACAAGGCCTCCAGCCAATGCTGATGCAGATGGAGGTTTGGGAAGGGCTGTTCTAAGAACCACCTTGGTTCCCCCACCACAAAAGGAGACGCGGACCCCGAACTCTGGCATTCTGTGGTTCTGAGATCCCTCCAGAGAACAAACCCTACCTTGCTTTGCAGATAGGACTCCAGTCAGCGCACTGCTGCTAGATTTACTCTGGCCTTTCGAGTTTTTCCGTCTTTCAAGAGCGTTCTAAAGCAGCATTGGGAGAGAATACAAATCTCTATCAAAAAAGCCAAAAAAAAAGAAAGAAAGAAAGCAAAAGAAAAATACCTACTTAGAGTAGATGCATGCTCCCATCAGACACACAAGACCCCTTGGCAAACCCCAAATGCTGACCCAACTTTTAAAATTCCGAGGCCCTGCCGAAGAGGTATGAAATTTATGGACCTGGTAGAGAGTTTTGTTTTGTTTTGTTTTGTTTTTTAAAGTTGGTGCCCAGCAGAATGACAGCAATTACCTTCTCCTATATATAAAAGGCACTCAATGCGTATTCATTAAATTAAGTCAAATCCGAAAGCAAGTGCTCCGTCTAATGTGTGAAGTCACTAGTTATGGAAACCCCTTCTGAATAGACATGAGATGGAGAACAGGTTTACTTTTATCTGCTGATGCCAAAAGATCACTGTTGGTCTTTGGAAGACTTCCGGGCTGGACTGGAAAAAGCCACAAATAATGAATGACGTCTGCCACGGACACAAGATAAGGAGGCACACAGGTGCTGACCAAAGTGCCATTCCTGTCACAGACCCTTACACTACAATTGATATGCGCTGTGTAGCAGTGCTTGGCACATTGAAGAACCAAATAAAGGCTGTTAAATGAATGCATACACACATTTTTTAAATGTATGTATTAATTATACAACTTTAAAAGCTGCATTCTTCTTTGGCTGTGTATGTGTATATATATACTGGTGTAAAGTGTGGCCCCCAACAGCATGGAAAAGGGAGAACAGCATAGAGACTTCAGGGAAGAAAAGCTAACGTCAGAAGCCAGGAAAACGAGACGGTTCTCCCAAGCATCTAGACTGCTATAAAACTCTACCCTCAGGAAGAGAAATCAATCTATTTTCAAAGCAGAGAAACCCAGGAGATGTTTCTAATTTTAACACTCACAACGAACATCTGCAGAAATAGATATTATCAGACTAATGGAGCTGGGATGAGTCTAAACAACAGTGGGAGAATTTAAACATTCTGTCCTTTCAGTGTGACGTGAACGTTCTTGCTCAGATTGTGATTCCCCAATCTTGGTTTCTTCTTGTCGCTCGGAAACCATTTTCTTATGGATGATTATGAGACAAGCAGTGTCTGATGATGGAACATTTTCTAGAGGCGCTGATAAGAAACCTAATTTTATGCGGACCGAGGCAGTGAAGTGGCCACGTCCAGATCTGGGCAGGCTCCATGCGCCCTGTCTAGGTGACAGCAACGAAAATGCTCTTGCAAAAGCTATTTTTGTTGTGTTTGTTGTTTTGTGCTTCATTCTTCCTGGTTACCTCAGTGAAAGCTCTTACTTTATCTGGGAGGGCAGGCGAGCACTCACATGTCTTTGGCACATAAAAGGGAATTAACACAGAATGGCATTTAGATGTACAATTGTGAGTCATTACCAGCATCATCACAATTCTCTACCTTATACTTGGCGATGTTTGATTTCAAGAGGTTGACCTCTTCGTGGAGTTGCTTTAATCGCTCTTGAAGGTACCTAGGAGAGAAAACATGTAACTAGGAAGTGTCTGGGTACAAAATAAAAAACATATAGGCAAGTAGGAGAAGAAAAAAAGAAAACAACCCGCCTCCAGAGCTATTGTGTACACACAATGCCTTCTCACCACCAAAAGAGGAGAGGAAAGTGCATCTTAGTGACCTCTTCTTAAATGGATGTAATCAAGGCCAAATATGCCCAAGTCACAGAAACCGCACTTTAGAACAGCCTTCTGCAGAGAACCTCTAAGGGATATCAACATAGTTTTCACATAATTCTCATTAAGATGATTCCACTGGGAAGGCAGGCAGGAAGAGGCGACACCAGACATAACATTAAATTAGACACACGCACACACGCACGCGCACACATACACACAAACACACACACTCTCTGAAATTTGCCTCGGGGAAAAGAAACAGCTAAGGGAATTTCTCAATTTATTTTCTTATTCTTTCCCCTCTCCTTGATATCAATACCAAGCAGCTTTCATTGGCTCCCTACCCTTCTTGCCCAGCTGGGAGGCGGGGAGGGGCGGGGGAAGGAGACAGGGGTCGGGGAGGCACGTGTATAGGGGTGTGGTGCCTTTCTGACTTTCGAAGCTAATACGTGGCATTATATCACCATGTTGGCGGTGGGACTTTCCTTTCATTGCAAGGCAGCTGTAACTTAGGCTGCCCAGACTGCACGGCCAGTGTCCTGCCTGAGTGCATGCCCGGGCCCGGCCACTTGCCTGTTCTCCATACAGAGGGCATCCACGTCAATGATGCGGTTCTCGTGCCCACCCAGGATATGGTTTAGCTCCTGGTTGAGCCTCTCCACTTTGTCCTGGTAGGAAGACCGTTCTTCTTTAACGTCCTGAAGCTCATCCACGGAGGCCTGCAGGTCATGCTCCAGAGACTCTATCTGAAACCAAGGAAGTGTCCTTACTTAAGATGTTCTTCAGACATCATTTTAGGGCCAGAGATGGAGGCTTCTGCTTTGCTGACTGTCTCTGACAGGGCGTATTCATCCCACCTGTGAGAGGAGGGAAATGAAGTCTAGGTTCTCTTTCCTGTCTCCTAACTAGGGCTCTGTACCCGTTGAGATTTTGTCTAAAAAGCATCACTCAACACTTGGGGAAATTTGCAAATTAAGGCCCATTTGTCATGTCTTGTTCCTTTCCTGTCTATCCTGAATGGGGGAAAGGGAAGATGTTTCTTGTGTTCAGAGCAATGGCACCCCAAACTAGGGGAACAGACCTTCCGGAAGCAAGGACCACAAGAGGCAGATCAGGAACTTACAGAGCAGGGAGAACGTCAAAGCATTCGACTCACACCCTCCTTGCGCCTCCGGCTAGCATCCCAGGTACCTTGCCCTCTCTGAGAAACGGGACACAGTCCAAAGGTACAAACATATCCCCCACTCTTAACAGATGTTAGCAATAACCTGTTCCTTAGCTCTTTCCAGCTGCTGAACCAAGTCTTCACGCTCATGGGCTGCAAAATGCCGCACGCCAATTTCTTCGTCTCCGAGCCTCTGTTTGGCAATTGTCATCCTCAAAAGCTGTATTTTCCATTGGTAGGAAAAGGAAGAGAGAGAGAGAGAGAAAATGTGTGTGTGTGTGTGTGTGTGTGTGTGTGTGTTAAAATGAATAGATCCAAACCAAAACCTGAGCATATTCAGCAAAAAGTTTTGGAAGGTATGACTTTTCAAGAAATACTGAGGAAAGGCATGAGACAAAGAAATGTCTTGCCAATATCATGAATTAAAGAATAAGTTAAATATACATTGTAGTTTGCACACACATGCATATACCCCTATATCCATGTACACACAGTGTAAGTCTAACGGGAACACTGGCCTGGGCGTTTGAAAGTGGAGGTTCTTTGCAGGTCTGGCACAGTAAAGAAAAAACTCTGGGTCTCTTCTACAGTCAGCAAAGACAACAAAATGATAACACAATTTTTGGAAGCATCTAGTACAATAGGCCTGTTGTTCCCACATCTTAGCAATGAGGCTATGTCATCAAGGGCCTTAAAAATGTCCCAACCAATGATCCAGTAACCTTGTTTCTGACAACCTGGGCTAACAGCAATCCCAGACATGCACCAGCTTTAGGAAAAAAGAAAAGGTGGATTGTACTCTCATTTTCAGAAAGAGCTAAAGAACGAGAACAAACATCTAATGAGCACGGGATGGCTAGCAAAATGTAGTGCAACCAATCAATGGGCTAGTTTGCAGCTGTTGGAAATAAGGGTGATGAACTGTGTAATAACACAGAACATGCTTATGATAGCATGCTAAGCGGGGAACAAAAAGCAGAAGACTAACTTTCATTTGCAGTAAAATTGAAGTCATACAAAGAACCTGTGCACAAAAGAAAAAGTGACCCAATACACCCTAATTTTTTAAAAAAGATTGTGTTTACTTATTTGAAGGACAGAGATCACAAGTAGGCAGAGAGGCAGGCAGAGAGAGAGGGGGAAGCAGGCTCTCTGCTGAGCAGAGAGCCCGATGCGGGGCTCGATCCCAAGACTCTGGGATCATGACCTGAGTCAAGGCAGAGGCTTTAACCCACTGAGCCACCCAGGTGCCCCTACCTACACCCAAATTTTTAAATGTGTGTGTTTTGATGATAGTGAGATATGTATGTTCTCTGTTCCGTACTCTATGTTCTAACTTGTCAAATAAGCACACACGACTTTCATAACAGACTTTCATTTATAGGTTTTTAAATGCCTACAGATAAAATTCCAGGCTCCAAAATGTAATTTTCCAAAGGATCCCTGCAGACCTAGAGTTGCTCCAGACTCTGGCACCCAGCTCCATGCGCAATTCCAAACCTTCGGGTAGGGTCATAATGGAAACAGTGATCCCCGGAAGATCTGATGGGGCCAGAACTGTCCTTAAGTGTCTAGCTCAGTGCCAACAGCGTGACCATGAGACTGACTTTTTCAAGTTATGGCCCTGCTTCCTGATGCTTCTTCTGAAAAGGTTGTAAGCCTGACTCCCCACCTCCTTGTAGGGTGTGTGTGGATGGGCTTCGTAGACGGACAACCTGGAGACAGATTTTTATGACTCAGCCAGCAAAGTCCGCTTGGGGCATGCTTTTCCTCACCTAGCATGAATCTTAAGGGGTTCGTGGCAGCAAAGAAAATGGATCTTCAAGTCTCTAAAGGATTTAGGGGCAGGTGAAAGAAAGTTAATAGCCAAGGTTGAATATTAACTAGATGGAGGCAATAAATACCAGCAGTCACCAAGGAAAACAATGGTGTAAACAGAAGCAACGAGCATCTACTTTCAGACGACAATGACTTTGGGTCCTTTACTGAAAACTACTCTATTGAATGTGACCAATATTTATTGTGCACCTACTATGTGCTAAAGCAGCACTGATACTGAGCAGACAATTCTCTGGGCAGCTCATGCAAAAGGCCAGCAGAGGACATAGGATACTTAGGGATGTAGACAGCTGCGCTCCATGGAACCTGATTACAGCTGATCCTCATAACTCAAGGATCCTGCAGGTGTGAATTTACCTACCTGCACATCTATTTGCAATCTCAAAATCAACATTCGTGGCGTTTTTGCATCATGGCCAGACATGTGCAGCTATGAACAGAGTTGCAAAGAATGTGACTCCTCTGATAGGAGCGTTTCCAGCTGAGGTAGAACAAAGCAATGGTCTACCTTCTTGTTTCAGTCCTCATACTGCAAACAGATGCCCCTTTTGTGGTCTGGTCATTGTCCTGTTTGTTCATGCTTTTGTGCTTTTAGTTGGTGTTCTGCTGTTTAAAATGCACAGTGCTGAAGTGATGTCTTGTGTTCTAGGTCATGAGGTGCCTGACGGAGAATTCGCGTCAGGTGTGACTTAGAGCGCTATGGGCCTTGAGTTCAAAGTACTCTGTGAACTGATTAAAAAAAAAAAAAAAATTCTGACCAGAGGCTCAGAGGAACCTAGTCTTACATTTCCTCTAGGAGCAATCTTCGGTATTTGCTAATTTGCTGTTTGCAGAGAACTTAGAGAGCAGAGCTATCTCGAATGATGTGAATCACCTGTACTGGGGGAGATGGCGTTTATGGCAGAACTGGTTAATTCAACCAACGGCTGGGATGTGAAAACATCTTCTGCATCAGACAATTTCTTGGCTCAGAACTTTCAGAACCCAAGTGGATATGCAGATAGACAAACAGCTAACCAAATGAGATACGTTTCTCAGATCAAAAGGTCTAGGAAGGAGAGGGCTCATGCCTTTTTTGGTGTGAGGCTACAGGAGGCCTTTGACACGGTGTGGAATAGGGGGCACTTTGCCTGATATGTGAAAAGCCAGACTGACAGCCTGATCTTGAAGTAATAAAACACTGCTGTGGTTTTCCATGCACAGAATGCTTTACTGAACACCTAATTTAGAATCACACAATTATGTTTGCTTAACGCCAATTAATTATTAAACATGTTTATTGAGGTCTGACAGCCATATAAGAGAGTCATCTTTTATATGCCCGATGCCTGTTATGCTTCAATAAATATGTTAACAATCATTTGGTGTTTAATATGCATACAATATTGCCTATTAAATTGCAGGGCTGGACTGGTTGAAACATTTATTTTTAAAAGTGAGGCCCACACTCGTAATAGCTGGATCATTAGTTGTTCTGAAACTCAAGTGCAACCAGCTGAAGGGGCCCAAGGAGGGGGTTGCAGTAGGGATGCAGCGGGAAGAGTTCTCCTGACTTCCAGGGCAGCAGCCCTGCAGGCCCTGGAATCTGTCTTGGTTGGGGTCTGGGGTCTGGGTCCACAGTCTGCTACCTGTACAACTGTACACAGGCCTGACCTTCCCCGAGCTGCTGTATCTTCCACTGAAGCAGTAACAGTATAGCTTCTGTGGGGGGAGTGGGGTTGGGGGGGCAAGCGGGTGCTATAAGCATGAACTGAGAAGGAGTGCAGGTGGTTTAAGTGAGCATTTAACTCAGGAGTTCAAAGATCGTGCTTGTCAGGAAGAGAGCAATGGAGAAGAGAGGATGAGTGAGCACAATGTTTTCAGTTGGGCCACTATGCACCCCTGCTTTCAGGGTCCCAGACAGAGGGATGTGGGAGGGTGGCTGCTAATACATTCAGACACAAGCACGTTGTTCATATTTATCCATACTGCCCGGTTCGGGAACCTAAATGCCACATGCCCTGAACTTTATGGACAATTTAAGGGACCATCAGGGGAACCAGGGCTAGACACAAGTTTTTGCCTGTCACGTGCTGACTTTAGGATGTAATCCTAAGAGATGGTGGGATTTTTCTGCAATACTTAGCACAGCCCCTGGAACACAGAATGTGTGCACTGTCAGCTGCTATTATGATTGTTACGACTGTCATCACTGTCATCCTCCATGTGAGTGTCCCCATACATACGCCCCTCCAGGGAGGCCCAGTTTTTCTTCCAAGCTGAAAGAAGCAGACTGGAGCCAACCTTATCCATACACTGCAGGCAATGATGCTAACGTCCCACCTTGGAAATGTCATGAAGCAACTGCTCGGGCCACTTAATTCCCCCAAATGGGGCCATCAAACCTCCGTGGCCAACCTCCCTGCGCCAGCCTGAGAAGCGGATCATTGCCCCATAAGGCTCATGCACGCCACCAATAGATGTATTCATTTGCTGATTTAGATGGAAATAAACATTTATGAATGAATTATGGGTGTGAGTTGTCAGCTTATGGCTGAGGAGCAGCTGCAGCTGGGATGTGGCTGAGGGACACGGCCACAAAACCATGTGGCAAAATGGCTCTTGGGTGCCCCTCCTCCACCCCGCGGATGGAGTCCAACCTCTCTACGGAGGCCTTGTTCAAACTCTGGTCCTCCTTGGGGGCCCCCTGTCGGAATGACTCACTCCTTTCCAAGATCTCTTCTCAGCCTTCACCCCTCAGCCCTCCACATCCTCTCCTCATCTGGTCTTCGCTTGCCTGGACCCGTCTGCCCCTGTCGATGGTGACAGGTAGCCGGGGCAGGAACGGCTGCTATTCGCAGGTGTTACCTGTGTTCAGACCCTGGTGCTGCTTATCCTCGTCGTGCCACCTTGTGTTAATTCATCCAGGCTGCTGAAACAGATTGCCACAGATTCAGTGGCTTCTAAACAACAAGCGTTTATTTCTCGCCATTCTAGAGGCTGGAAGTGCTAAAATCAAGGTGCTGGCAGACGTGGTGTCTGCTTCCTGCTTCAGAGATGGCCACCTTCTTGCTGTGTCCTCATGTGGTGGAGGACGTGACTGAGAGGTAGAGGCTCCCATTCATGAGAGCGCCTCCTATTGACCCAATCACTACACAAAAGCCCCACCTCCTGCTACCATCCCATGGGAGGTTAGGATCCCAACATACAAATTTGTGGGGGGACACAAATATTCAGTCTCTAACACTCCGCCCCTGGTCCCCTGAAATTCATGTTCTTCTCACATACATAACATACTCATTCTATCTCGACAGCCCCAGAAGTCTTAACTCATACCAGCATTGACTCTGAAGTCCAAAGCCTCATTGAAATGGCACCTAAATCAGATATGGGTGAGACTCC